AGAGTCTGCAGATATCCTCTCTGCCCTCCTTTTGACCCTCACAGTATATAGGTTTTCACCTGCCAAGGTCACTCACCGCCTCCGAATTCCTACGAACTTTCTCCACTTTGGAATCTGCCCGGATCCATGGAGACAGTTTGCCCACAATCAGCGTGTTCCAGTCTAAGAAGGGGAATGATATTGAGTGGGTTAACACAAACACAGCAGTTTGTTTAGAAGCAAGAGTCATACTGAGAATCATGTATGCCCATTAAAACCACCCAAACACATATTAAAGAAAAATCTGAATAATAATAATAATGAATAATTCATGTGCTAAACAGGCAGACTTAAGAATTAATTAAGAATTAAGAAATTCCATTCTCTTAGAATTTTTACTCTTCTTCTGTTTGGGGTAGCACTAACAGGCCAGGATTATGCACAAGTGAGGTTAGAAAAACAGGAATGCTTTAATTAGGCATCCTAGGCCTTAAGGTATAAAGAAATGGCTTGGTTTTTATAAATAACACATTCTGCAACTTCTTGCCCTCTATGGTCAGCGACACTAGGGAAAGCAAAAGTTCTTACCTCTCCCTGAGAGTAACAGGTCAGAGCGAGTCTGCGGTCCTGGTCGGTTTTTAGCCGGCTCATGGAAAAACTCTCTCTTGTATCGGGGATGGAAAATAGGCATGCAGAGAAAATCAAATCTATGGAATAGGGGGGAGGGGGAGGGGGGCAGGGAAAACAGGCAAGTGAAGACCCCGATGCTCAAAAACACTACATTGCTGGCTGTGCTTCCACAACATACTGAACTACAAACAAGCCAGGTAGATTTTAGCTTAATGTGATGTGCAAAAGCCAGTGGTTTTGTAGTCAACATGTATCATGAAAAAACTTCATTGAGTGTTAGATAAGCACATTTAGGGAATACAACCCCTGAATCTTACATTTGGGATGCAGGAAGAAGCCTTCTCTATGGCTGCACCTAGCTTTTACCAAGGAACCTCACCATTCTCCCTGCTGACTTTCTTCTGCTGTGTAAGGTCATTTCTTCTACTGCAGGCCATCTGACCTGCTGAGCTGTGAAATTTTAACTCCCCCACAATCCATCACATGAAGAATTTTGCTGCTGCCATTTCTCTTTTTAATTGCTCATTACTTGTACAGTATTGTTTTAGTATGCTGATTAGAATTGTAAGCCACTCTGAGAGTTTGTATTAATGGAAAAATGGCATAAAATTAATTCTAATAAAAACAATTAAAAATACAGATCTCATATACATTTATTTACAAATGGATTCTTTGGGGAAAAAAGAAACTCTGAATGAAATACAGAAATTTCAGAACAGCTCACATAGCCTCCTCTTTCCTTTTTTAAAATTATCTTTACAGTGGCAATGATGTTTATCTCCAAAGCATTTTTGAGATTTTTTTTTATGGTAGCTCTTAAGACATTATGAACTGCCTCCAGACAAATGTTTATACACTGGAAGTATTTACTTTTCTGCTAACGCCACCACAATGCATCAGATAAAGATTCATGGACTGTAATCCACAAATGTTTTATGGTGCCGTAAGCTATTGCTTTTGCTGAATCAGAATGATACAGCTACCCCAAATGTTTCCTGTACATTTTTGTGAGATTATACTCAAGTAACTTGGGGGCTGCCAGAGTGCCTAAAGATCTCTGCAGCCCAGGAAAGATTGTGAAACTACAAGGATTTGAGGGAGAAAGAATCCAAGCTGTGAAACTGAACAGAAAATGTTAGACCTATGGGTGCATCCCTGGAGTGAATCTGCAGCAACTGAAGTGTGAACACAGCTACTCCTGCTGGCAGACTTCTTTCAGAAGATCTCAGAAGTACTACAGGCATCCGTACCCAAGAGGAACCCAAAGAAATACATCCCTAGAGGGCCATTTGGTCCAGGGCTAGTACAACCAAGTTAACCCCAGGGGGGGGGGGTATAACCAAGTTGGGGGGGGAGGAAAGGGCACGCAGATTTCACTTTCAAAATCCTATTGGGGATGGACTGCATGAAAGGCCTTTTTTTCAAATCACTCTAAGATTGCAACATACATTGGTCACTGAAATAACCCACAACATTTGCCTTTGATGGCGAAGCATAAACCAACAAAAGGGGATGAGTTAACATAACACGTAAGACCCTGACCAACCTTTGTGGGCACATTGTACAAATGCAGTTTCCGGGTTTTAATCTGATGGATGCTGCTAATTACTGCTTAAAACAGAATGGTAGAGTTGGAAGGGACCCTTGAAACTCTGCTCAGTCCAACCCCCTGCTCAGCCCAGGATTCCACATCAAAGCACCCTGAGGGACAGCTCCTTAGCCTCCACTTGAATGCAGTCAGAAAACAGGAACTCACTGCTAACTTTACTTACTGCTTTGTCTGTCAAACTGTTCTCAGTCCTGGAAGGTTGTTTCCTAAGACACAGTTAGAATCTGCCTTCCTGTAATTTAAATCCATTATTCCATGTGCTGCCCTCTACAATAAAGAAGTCTTGACCTCCTTCTGTGTAGCATCAGAGCCAGTATGGGAATGTTATCCCATCACTTCTTCTCAGAATCTTCCATCTCTCTTAATAGGACTTAGTTCTGAATCCTCTAACAATCTTCACTGCCCCACTCTGAACCTGTTCCCCTTGCTCTGAATCTTTCTTATAGGATAAAAAAATGGACACACAATTTGAAGAAAGGTCAAATTGTGAATGGGGCGATTTCTTCCTATGATTTAGAAACTATAGTTTTATGGACACAGCCTAAAATTGCATTTGCCTTTCTTGTTTTGTTTTACAGCTACCTCATTCTGCAGATTCATATTCAATTTGTAATCAATTTCTATGCCAGGATCTACTAACAAGCCAAATATCCCAGTGTCAGCCTTGTTATACCATGTTACACCACTGCTGTGAGAGCTGTGTTGGCTAGTGGTACATTTCTAAGTGCAATTTAAGGTGTTGTTTTTTACTTTTAAAGGCCTATATGGCTCTGGCCTGATGCCTAAAAGACCATTTTCCCCAAAGAGATTCTGAATAAAAAGTACCTACTTAGTGTCCTCTCCTATGAGTTATGATGGGAGGGGTCTCAACAACTGGCATTCTCTTTGCTTGCCCCCTAAGATGAGGATGGCTTTCAGTCTTATAGTCTTCTAGAGGCTTATACAAACTTGGATTTTCTGGAAGATCTTTGGGGATTGAGTGTAAGTCTTTGATGCAAGAAACAGTTTTACTTATTTAACTGTATGTTGTTAATCTTGTACTATTATTGTTTTGTATTTTGTATGTTGTTTAGAGTTCATTTGAGATTGAGGCAGTAAATCCATCTCATAATTAAATGCATCACCTGCGCATTCAACTCCTATTTCCTAAGTGCAAAGCTCTTCCTCCGTTAAATCTTAAATCCATTTCGGCTCTTGCTCCTTTTCTGCCTGACCCTAGTGTTAAAATCTCACATTGGAAATGTTTTTGCCCACCACGGTCATAATCGATTGGCACGATATCCTTGTTGTGATTACGGTGACATAAATTCACAGAGGTAACCATCAACCGTTCATCCATTGGTCAATCATCCTAACCCACTGGACTGGGGGGGGGAAAGCACAAGACAACAGAAATAAGCAGTTGTGGCATGTGGACCTCGCTGGTGGGCAAAAACTTTCTGACAGACGAAGGAGGAGCAAGGCCCTCCATTTCTCCAACTTAGGGTTCTTTTGGATTTTACATTTGTCTTCTGAGGCAATACATTCCAGCCCTTTTGGTGTCATCTACAAATCTCATAAACATTCCAACTGCATCTTCAAGTCACTAATAATAATGTCGAAAAGTACTGGCACCCATCCCACTCAACGCTTCCCACCAGTTTCAGAGGGAGCGCTCTGGGAAGACCATTTCTGAGGCAGATATATCCCCTTGACTATATTACCGGAACTCAGCGGAACATTTCGTTACTTTTTTAAAAAAAAGGTTAGCTTCACTCCCACGTGGACTACAACTTCCATCACTCGCTGTCAGAATGGCCATGCTTTCTGGCAATGATGGGAACTGCATTCCCAAAGAACATCTTGGGGGGTCTATTTTGGGAAGGTACAGCCACGGGGTCAGAGGTCACCCTAAATGCTTGGGGGGGGGATTACAGCGTTCAAGCCAGCCCAGGCCCTCCCTCATCCCAGGCACGGCCCCAGGTGACCACAGGTAGAGGTCAGAGGTCACCCTGGCCCGAGCGCGGAGGTCAAAGGTCGCTGGAGGAGCACGTGGTTTTCCTCACCCTTGTCTAGCAACCGCCCCCAGGGTGCCCGCCACTTCTGGGACGCAGCTCAGGTCCCTCCCGCAGGAGACCCGAGCCACGCCAGCTGCCCCCGGCCCGACCGCGGACGAGGCCGCCCCCCCGCCCACCCCCGCC